AGCGGTGAAGAAGGAAATGCCCTAGCGGTGGTGTGAGAAAGAAATTCCCCTGCAATGGTGGTGTCAAGAAGAAAGGAAAAAATGTCCTTGCATCGGTAGTGTCACTGGAAGGAAAAACGTGTCCCTGTGTTGGTGGTATCAATGGAAGGAAAAAAAGCCCTTATGGTTGTATTGTCACTGGCAGGTGTTGATTGAAGGAACAAATATTCCTGTGGCTGTGGTGTCACTGGAGAAAACAATGTCCCTGAGTTGGCGGTGTCAATGGAAGGAGGAAAATGTTCCTGTGTTGGTGTTGTCTCTGGAAGGAAAGAAATGTCTCTGTGTTAGTGTTGTCACTAGAAGGAACAATTTCCCTGTGTTGGTGGTATCATTGAAAGGAAGAAAATGTTCCTATGTTGGTGATGTCACCAGAAGAAAATAATGTCCCTGTGTTGGTGGTGTCTCTGGAAGGAAAAAATTGTCCCTGTGTTGATGGCGTCACTTGAAGGAAGAAAAATGTTCCTGTGTTGATGGTGCCACTGGAAGGAAGAAAAATGTTCCTATGTTGGTGGTGCCACTGGAAGGAAGAAAATGTCCCTGTGTTGGTGATGTCACTGGAAAAAAATGTCCCTGTGTTGGTGGTGTCACTGGAAGTAAAAAATTACTCATCTTGGTGGTGTAATTGAAATGACATTGATGGTGTCACTGAAAAAAAACCCTTGAGCATTGGTGTTGGTGGTGTCATTGAAAAGAATAAAATGTTCCTATGTTGGTGATGTCACCGGAAGAAAATAATGTCCCTCTGTCAGTGGTGTCTCTAGAAGGAAAGAATGGTCCCTCTGTCAATGGTGCCACTAGAAGGAAAAAATGGCCCCACTGTCAGTAGTGTCTCTAAAAGTAAAAATGCTCCCCCTGTCATTGGTGTCACTAGAAGGAAAAAAATTGTCCCTCTGTCAGTGGTGTTTCTAGAAGGAAAGAATAGTCCCTCTGTCAGTGGTTTCTCTAGAAGGAAAAAATGATCCCTCTGTCACCGGTGTCTCTAGAAGGAAAGAATGTCCCTGTGTCGGTGGTGTCACTAAGAACAAAAAATTCCCCTACGTTGGTGTGTCACTGGAAGAAAAAAATGCCCCTGCTTTGGTAATGTCACTAGAAGGAAATAAATGTTGCTGTGTTGGTGGTGTCACTGGCAGGAAGAAAATGTTCCTGTGTCGGTGGTATGATTGTAAGGAAAATCAAGTCTCCCGTCCTGCCAGGCAGGACTGTGCTGGGGGCAGAACTGGTTAAATCTTAAGACTGGATGGACAGAAATACAACTCCTTTGGCAGGTGACACTGCTCCCATATCTGCATTTCATCTGCCTGGAGTTGAGATGTGTGTTTCTGAATGTGCTCCATCCAGTGCAGGGGAGAAGATAAAAGGTCAACCAGAGGTGGAGGGAGAAGAGGAAGCATCTCCCTGGGAGGATGCAGCCTGCAGGAAGAGCACATTGCATTCACCTCATTGGCCGGAGGCCTGCTGGAAGTAGCAATGTATCATTCTTATCAGTAGAACAGCTTGCTCCCATTGACCAACATGGCACTACCTTGCTACCACGCTGATATCTGAGCACAGGAAGCGAGTGGAAACATTCCATTCATAAAAGACTGAACAGGAGATGCTGAGTGCCAAATAAAGAACAGGAATACTGACTTTTCTAAGGATTGGAGTTTCAGTGTTTAGAGGGCTAAAGTAGAACTCCAGAAAAGAAAGACCAGGAAGACTGCAGCAATTCTCACCTTCAATCCTGCGCTGTTCCTGCAGTAATTCCTTTCAGTCACTAGAGGCCATCAGTCTTCAGGGTTAAACGACAACTGGTATCATTCAATCCACTCCCTCAGGACTGTCATAAACACATTGCCTGGGATAAGTGGAATGGGGGGGGGGGGGGGTTGGCACCTCATCCCTTTGAAACTGATCACATATTAATTACACAAGTTCTGATGCTAATTTAACGTAGATAAAGCACCAAGTGATTTTAATTCCCACCTTAATTAGCCACAGAACCTATTTAATTAATATGTGTTCAGTTTTAAAGGGATGAGGTCCTCGGGATCGGCACAGAGGAAGCCAGGGTCTGGTAGCAGTTATAAGCCAAAGGTCAGTAACAAGTGTCTGCAGGTTGGAATCAGGCAGAAGCATAGTCAAGGATCAAACCAAGATCAGTAACAAATGGTTGCAGGTTGGATCAGGCAGAAGCATAGTCAAGGATCAAACCAAGATCAGTAACAAATGGTTGCAGGTTGGGATCAACTGAAGCATATTCAAAGAACAAGCCAAAATTGGTAACGAGTGGTAGCAGAGATATGGACGGAAGCAGGAGTGAAAGGAGTAAGATATTGGCTGGAGAAAGGCACAAAAATGTGCAAAGGCATAGCTAAAATAGGAGGTTCATGGGAGGAGCAAGGAGTTTAAGGTTCACAAGAAACAAGGCAAAAGCCAAAATTATCTCAAGGTTCAGACAGCAAGCTGCCCAGCATCTCAGGTGGCTCAGCATGGAGAGCTACTCCTAGATGCATCAGAGGTTGTGGGTTCTAATCCTGGTCCTGACATGCACAGTGTGTGACCCTGGAACATATAACACCCATTTTCGGCTATCATGGGGTGCTAACGGAGTGTACCTGGAATACTAGTGAACAACATTGCTCTGCCATAGGACAGTTGTTAATATGAAGAAAGGCCTCTCCCTGGTGTAGCAGCTCACTGGTCCCTTGACAACATGTTACATTAACAAGAGCCAATTCTTACACATAAAGAGAGGCCAGCAAAATGTATTAATACCTTTAATTGAGAGTGTCACAGTCTGGTGTCCCTTCCCACTCGGAAGCAGATTGGCAACCAGAAATAGTAATAGCAACTGGAGCTAGGCAGTGATATCCGTGAAGGAGGCACAGAGAACTATTGGGCGTCTTAAGAGAAACAGGTCACCCTTTGGCATTGAAGGACACTCTGAGCACACCAGCCCATATGATAAAGGTGAGAGCCCTTAGAAGGGCCAAGGTGTAGAATTTAAGGAGCTGCCTTGTCTCCTCCAAAGCTCCTGAAGATGGAGATGGGTTTTGCTGATGGTGACACCAAGGTTGCAGCCCTCTAACTCACAAGAGCATGTAGCTACTGAGAACTGAGAGTACATATCCAGGGAAGAGTTCTTGCAGTGCTCAGCTGGGTTCATAAGTCTATAGGGAACACAGTCCAAACTGGTATTAGTACACAGGAACATGCAGAGACACAGAGGAGGAAAACAGTGCATAGGGTCTAGTAACGAAAGGCTGGCTGGGAAACACAGGGGGTCACACTGATGCAGAGGAGCAGGTAGCTGACTGGAGTACACAAGGAGTCATGGTGGTGAAGGAAGACTGGATGCAGACTGGGGAACACACAAATCACAGGAGCAGGTTCGAGGACAGAGGCACAAGGTATAGGATTGCACAGAGATCTCAAGGCTGAATGCAGGCTGGAATATCTGAAGATCACAGACAGATAGCATTGGGGAACACTGGGGTCACAGAAACACTGTGAGGAGACACTACGGATGAAAGGAGAGATCACTAGGGATAGCAGGGGGTCCAGCTGCTAGTATGTGGATACAATTCCAAACACAGAGAAACCTGCTTGCTAGCCTTTTAGGAGAGCACCCCATTTGTGAATGGCTGTACTGCCAGAGGAAGCTGGAACCCAGCAGCAGCACAAAAAGGAAAAGACCTGGTACTGGAGAATGGAATAGGTACTGTCAGTGTGACACAGAGGTGCTGCTAAATAGTAAATATCAAGGTGTATCTCTTTCAGAAAAAAGACCTGGTTTGGACTGCCAGGCCTATATGGGAAAGATAAAGTAGGAGCGTATTAAACGGGTGGATTCTATTTCAAGGCTGGTTCTTGGAATAGACATTTTGACACAGACCCAAGCCTGTCATCCAGCTTTTTCCATAGGGGAACACTCTGCCACCAGTTCTGTTAATATTATTGATATTCTCCTGGGTTTGTATAACATATTCATTTGTGTTCCATGCTGAAAAATATCCCCCATGCTGAATAGTTTTTATACAAACCTTTTGACACCTTTTCCAAATAATTTTATCCTTTATATGAACTCCAAATTCTACTGCTGCGTTTTACTTATAACATCATATTATTATTTACTATTGAAAAACGTTTTTTGATAGTGTTTTAGCCTGGATGAAGGGGATCTCTGTGACCCTTAAAATATGTTGACTACCTTTTTTACCAGTCAGTGTGATGAATAAAATGCATCTGGACTGGTAGTTTGGTGGTCTCTTCTTTCTACTACACTTCCAAATTCTATTCCGAGCACCAGATCTGGTTCCACCAAGTGTTAGAGAGCTGCCTGTGACCAAAACTACTACACCATATTAAAATGGGAATACTTACCCAGACCAGTGTCCAGTGTTCTGACAGCTTACTTTCATATACACTATATTGCCAAAAGTATTGGGACGTCTGCCCTTACACGCACATGAACTTTAATGGCATCCTAGTCTTAGTCCGTAGGGTTCAATATTGACTTGGCCCACCCTTTGCAGCTATAACAGCTTCAACTCTTCTGGGAAGGCTGTCCACGAGGTTTAGGAGGGTGTCTATGGGAAGGTTTGACCATTCTTCCAGAAGCGCATTTGTGAGGTCAGGCACTGATATCGGAGGAGAAGGTCTGGCTCACAGTGTCCACTCTAATTCATCCCAAAGGTGTTCTATTGGGTTCAGATCAGGACTCTGTGTAGGCCGGTCAAGTTCCTCCACCCCAAATTCGCTCATCCATGTCTTAATGGACCTTGTTATGTGCACTGGTGTGCAGTCATGTTGGAACAGGAAGGGGACATCCCCAAACTGTTCCCACAAGGTTGGGAGCATGAAATTGTCCAAAATGTCTTGGTATGCTGATGCCTTAAGAATTCCCTTCACTGGAACTAGGGGGCCAAGCCCAACCTCTGAAGGACAACCACACACCATAATCCCCCCTCCACCAAACTTTACACTTGGCACAATGTAGTCAGCCAAGTACCGTTCTCCTGGCAACTGCCAAACCCAGACACATCCATCGGATTGACAGACAGAGAAGTGTGATTTATCACTCCAGAGAACACATCTCCACTGCTCTAGAGCCCAGTGGCGGTGCGCTTTACACCACTGCATCTGACGCTTTGCATTGCACTTGGTAATGTAAGGCTTGGATGCAGCTGCTCAGCCATGGAAACCCATTCCATGAAGCTCTCTATGCACTGTTGTTGTGCTAATCTGAAGGCCACATGAAGTTTTGAGGTCTTTAGCTATTGACTCTGCAGACAGTTGTACTGTGTGCTTCAGCATGCGCTGACCCCGCTCTGTCATTTTACATGGCCTATCACTTCATGGCTGAGTTGCTGTTGTTCCCAGTTGCTTCCACTTTGTTATAATAGCACTAACAGTTGACCGTGGAATATTTAGTAGCCAGGAAATTTTACGGATGGACTTATTGCCCAGGTTACAACCTATCACAGTACCATGCTTGAATTCACTGAGCTCCTGAGAGCGACCCATTCTTTCACAAATGTTTGTAGAAGCAGTCTGCATGTCTAGGTGCTTGACTTTATACACCTGTGGCCATGGAGATGATTGGAACACCTGAATCCAATGATTTGGAGGGGTGTCTCAATACTTATGGCAATATAGTGCACTTCCATAGACCATATCTGGGCCCAACAGGTGAGAGCAGAGTCTGATCAGGACTATTACACCATACTAGAATGGGAATACTTACCCAGACCAGGGTCCAGCATTCCAACAGCTTACCTGCATATGCTTCCAAGGACCAGATCTGTGACCAATAAGTGTTGAGGACCTGCGTCTTGCCAAAACTACTACACACATTTAGAATGGAATTACTTACCAGGACCAAGGTCTAGTATACCGACAGCTTGCCGTTACCCAACCCTAAAGGTGATGGCATAGAGAATACCCAAGAATATGCACGTTGCACTAAACCCTGAAGGGTATTTAAAGGCAAATCTTCTTGCAAGGGTTCCTGGTGAAAAATAGGAAATCCTAAAACTTCCCAGAAGGTTCCAGCTAATCCATGACAGCTGTTGGTCCTGAGAAAATTTAAATTCTAAACGTTAATTTTCGAATGAACCATTCCATTAACATATTTAATATAGCCATGACAGAGCACAATAGAAATACCATTATTGCTGTCTGGAGATGCCAGAAGCAATTGTGGGCTCCAATTACCATCCAGTGGTTCCATTAGTGACCTTGATCAACTCTGGCAGCTGCAAATATGCTACATTCAGTGAATAATTAGATAATTGTTAGTCTCTAAAGGGGCGTAAGAAGGAGGATTATGAACTAAGTGTAATTATACCCTTTATGGTTGTTGAATATATGTACAGTGAATTATTAATAGTAATATTAACCAGTTTAGTTCTTTGCATGGTGAACCAACCCTATAATTTTGTTTTATACAAATAATTAATGTTTAAGCCCTGCAAATTTGTGTACACAGATGTCCTTTTCAAAACCTCCCCTAGAATCTCAGAATTTCTTTGGTGTAGACATGGCGCCCAATATCGTTTTATGGGAGTTTGCGGTATGGTTGTCTGACGAAACATGCTAATAATTGGCATAAAGGTTGAATATTTAAAGCCTACCCGTCAATAAGGTTACACAGAAAAGCCACTTTCATTTTCCATCGTCTTCATAATAAGTTACAGTTAACGAAAAAAATCGTTAATCTAATGATCTCTGTGAAATTTATTAGATGGGGCATGAATAATTTTGATGATACAATTTCATATAAATGAAGTCGATGAAGCTGAGATAATATCTGACTTAATCCCATTTACAGACGAAGCAACTAAGAGGGATTTAGCATGAACCAAAATGACAGACATCGTCATTCCAAGGAACACTTATAAACATAAAATTATTATAATAATGCCACAAGTGGGACCATGTTATTTTTCCAGTGATATAAAGATATGGCTTTGTAGAAAGTAGGAAAGCTGCATTAATAACAAAGGAAAGACATGATTTGAGTCCATTCAGATTTACAGTAATGGCCAAAAATATTGTCATTCCTGCATTTCTGCCAGATAATGCACCACTTTGCCCAGAAAACTGTTGCAATTACAAATATTTAGATAGTCTTATGTTTATGTCTTTTGTTTGTATTGATATGACACAAAAATGTGGAAAAACAAAAAGCCATACCTGACACATTTCACCCAAAATTCCAAAAATGGACAGGACAAAATTATTGGCACTGTCAATTTAATAATTGGTAGGACACCCCTTGGAAAAAATAACTGAAATCAATTGCTTCCTGTAACCATCAATGAGTTTCTTACACCTCTCTACTGGAATTTTGGGCCACTTTTCTTTCGCCAACTTCTCCAGGTCACTCAGATTGGAAGGGTTCCTTTTCCCAACTGCTGTTTTGAGATCTCTCCACAGGTGCTCTATGGGATTGACATCTGGACTCATTGCTGGCCAGTTCAGTGCTCTCCAGAACTTTGTCTAAAACCATTTCTGGGTGCTTTTTGTTCATTTTTTTTTGTTGACGTATTCTTTGGGTCATTGTCCTGCTATAAGACCCATGACCTCTGACGGAGACCCAACTTTCTGACACTGGGCCCTACATTGCACCCCAGAATTCTTTGGTAATCTTCAGATCTCATAATACAATGCAGACGGACAAGACATCCAGTTCCTGAAGCAGCAAAGCAACCCCAAAGCATCAATGAACCTCCACTTTGTTTGACTGTAGGGACTCTATTTAATTCTTTAAAGGCCCAATTTCTTTTTGTGAAAACAGTAGAATGATGAACTTTATTAAAAAGCTGTAATCTTATTCCGTCTGTCCACAACACATTCTCCCAAAAGGATTTTGGCTTCCTCAGATATCTGGCTTTTTTTATGTTTCTGTGTCATAGTGAGGTCCTCCTGGGTCTCCTATCATAGTGTCCCTTTTCATTCAGATGGTGATGTATAATGCGAGAGCTGACACAGTTGTACCCTGTGCCTGAAGGTCAGCTTGAATTTGTCTAGAAGTTGATCAAGGTTCCTTATCCACCATTCGAACAATCCTATGTTGCAATCTTTGATCAATTTTTCTCTTTCGTCCATGTCCAGGGAGATTAGCTACAGTGCCATGGGTTGTAAACTTCTTGACGATGTTGTGCGCTGTAGACACAGGAACATTAAGATCTCTAGAGGTGGACTTGTATGCTTGAGATTGTCCATGCTTTTTCACAATTTTTGTTCTCAAATCCTCAGACAATTATTTGCTGCTCTTTCTCTTCTCCATGCTCCATGTGGCACACAGAGACACACAACAGAAAAGTTGAGTCAATTTTTCACCATTTTAATTGATTGTTGGTGTGATTTCTACATTGTCAACACCTGTTAATTGATACAGGCGAGTTTAATTACAAATTACAGGAGCATCACATACTTAGAATTAAATTATTTCTTACTATTTTGAGATGGTACCAATAATTTTGTCCAGTCCATTTTTGGGGTTTTGCGTGAGATTTGTCAGATTTGGCATTTTGTTGCTCCACTTTTTTGTGTCATACCAATACAAACAAAAGAAATAAACATGAGAATGGCTAAACATTTGTAATTGCAACAATTTTCTGGGCAAAGTGGTGCATTATCTGACAGAAATGCAGGGGGCCAGTATTTTTGACCATGACTGTACGCATTGAGTTAAAGCTCATTTTATTGCACGTTACCCCAATGTGCTTTCATTGTGAGTGGCACCTTTATGCACTATGCAGTAGTGACCATGCAAGGCAACACATCACATTGCACATGCCACATTTTGTGGTGCACTGCTTTCCCAAAAAAAGGGCTGTGTATTTTTCGGCCCTAGTTGGTGCAATGCCAATAAAACTGTGCAAAATGTGTTGCCTTAGCATAATACAAGGAACATAACAGACCGCAATTATGTGAATCAGCCCTCAAAGCGAATCTGTCACGTCTAGGCAAAATTACAGTGATAGATGATGGACTAAAATGATATAAAAATCACTTAAGGAGCTGAATTGACAGCCAAAATTTTTTCCAGTTTTGGATAGACAGGTTCTATCTGTTGATTACTTATTGTAGCCTTTGTCCCCACTGCACAGATTTCAATTATTTTCTGTCATCAGAGCTGGTTACTGGGAGAGTTCCCCTCATCTACTGCTCAGGTGACAACTGTAACATTTTTGATTTTTCCCAACCATTTGTGTTGAAGATAAAGGTGAGAAATTAATAGAGTATTCTTTCAAATGGGTAACAGAAAGTGCTAAAGATGACAGCAGTCCTAACCTTCTCCATCTTTCACCTTCTGGCAGTTCTAGGTAAATTTGTAAGCTGGAGTGAGAAATTGTGGACTCTGTAAACAATTACTCTAGAACAGTGGTTCTCAACCATAGGGGAACCAGGACATGGAAAATTCTTCCATAACCTTTCATGCCCAAACATGGCCAAGATCAGCAAGTAGATCACAGTCGACCTCTTGCTGCCCCCATTCTAAACCTTACCTACTCTATTCATGACCAACAAAAAGGTTTTGGCTATAGATAAACTTTAAATCCATAACCTACTTTCATAAGAAGCTAAAGGGCTGATCCATTACAGCCAATAAAAAGAAAATTTGGACACAATTGCAGTTGTATTCCACAGTTGATGAAATTTTTGTTTAATGTTTGCCCAAAAAATATTCTATTAACATGTACCAGCGCTTAAATGTTTCACCAAACAAAGCAGCTGTAAAAAGGTGCTATAGGTACTCTTATATATACTGTACGTATCTACAAAACTCTATACAGTGCTTTTTGTTTTTGTGCATTCTATATATATATATATATATATATATATATATATATACAGTATATATATGCAAAATATTCAAATCAAGTCAATATTATCATGCACATTTCCCCAGAAATAAACTGAAATCTAATTGGTTCCTATTAATTACAACTCAGGTTATCTGTGTATTTTCAATTCTCAATTTTAAAGTTCCTGGAGCAGAAATGTTTGCATGGGGATTGGTCACATGAATGCACCCACCAATGAGAATATATATTTGCAACTTCAAGCGCAGTAGTCAAGAGCATCCCTGCCCTTTTGTGTCAAGCTCATCCATAGTCTTAGATGGACACGTAGTTTTAGATGGACTTTTAATAAGAGACAATTAAAGCCCAACTCCAGATAACCTTTTACCCACTTGCCATCTGCTAGCAGTAGATTTGCAGGCTCAGCGATGTACCCATATGTTGCTGAGCACATGACGTGCAGCATTGCAATCCCATGACCACTGTGTCCTCAGGACACAGCAAATCATGGCGCTCGATACCCGGGTGCTATGCGTGGGCGGGGTATCATGTGATCGCTATATCCGGTCATAGATAAGAAAGAGTGGTGAGTAACAAGGTATACAAATAGCACCACATCCCTATAAACTGAAAATATAGAGCTGAAAAAATGTAAGATTTTTAAGGTGCAGAAATACAAGGAAAACATATATTAAAAAAAAAATTAAACAATCTTTATTAATCACTTTATAGACAAAAAATTAATACAAT